TCCTGCCGTCACCCTGACCATCTTAGCTCCTCTTGGAGCCTCTCTGTCCCTCGTCCTCCTCCTGCATCATAATCTCCATATGAGCAGCAGCATCAACCAAACGTCTGTACTCTCGGATAAAGGACCCTCTAACCCTCAACTTGAGTCCACGCCTCAACTTTCGCTCAAACTCAAAACAACGGCGTTCCTCGGATGCCACCAGTTCAGGTGCAAACCTGGACAGACTAGTAAAAGTAGCCTCAAACTCGGCCACTGACAAGCCCTGCTGTCTAAGCTGGCAAAACTGCTCTCTCAGCTTCTCCCTAGCAGCTGAAGATAAAAACTTCTCCTGGAAAGCATTCACAAACGCCTCCCATGCACCACCAACACTGCCCTTCTCGTACTTCCACCATTGACTCACATCTCCCTTTAGCTGGAAGGATGCCAAGGTCACCTTTAAAGCCCCGTCCTCGATGCCAAGCATCTCGAACGTCTTCTCCATCTGTTCCAACCACTCGTCAGCCTTAAGTGGCTCCTTCGAGTCCCCAACAAACTCATCCGGATTGGACCGGAAGAATTCCCTCTTCAAGAAGGAAGGCCCTGCCTCAACAACCTGAGCCTGAACTAGAGCCTGAACTGGATTCTCAGCTCGAAAAATATCCACAAACTCCCTCAAAGCATCGGCTATCCCTCGGGCTAAAGCGCCCATAGCCTCCTGACCTGCTGGCTCGGCCACATTGGCCTGGCCAACCCCCTCCTGTTGTGCCGGAATATTATCCGGTAAAGGCATCTCCTGCCTACCACGTCTGCCTCGTCTACCACGTCCTCATCCTGACATCCTAATAAAGGTAACGAAGAACGTGAACACATTCATAAATGTGCCAAAACTAAACACTCGCGTCCTAATACATAGACAACTGTAATTCACTCCACGTAAGCACAAAAACACATAAGCACTTACGAATTTCATTTCCGGATAATGATAGTCCCGAGGCGTTACTAGAGTTCCGGTTAGAAACAGCATTGATCAAGTGCTTTTCCAACAAGACTCCTAGAAACCCAAGGATCCAATCAACATCCTAGAAACTACATTCCATACCCACATAGTCACATAAGCATGTTATCAATTAAGCACATAGCACATGACACTACATCTAAGTCTCTATCAAGCGAGACAAACCCATTGTGATCCTAATCACTTCCCACGTACCCAAAGTATTCGAACCTGGTACGCTCTGATACCAAGTTGTAACGCCCTCAAAATAATACATAAAACCCATCACTTTAGACATGCATTGATATAAAAGAAACCAACCATTTCTATTCATCAGAGTAATTCTTGTAACTGTATTACATGCTAACAACAAAAGCAAATGCCTTATGGGCTTACAGCTTTCCAAGTTAACACTTGGTTACAAAAAAGGAGTGCTAACTCAATACATATCAAGCCCTTGGCTTGAATTTACATGTAATACATCAAAATAAACAAAAAGAGTCTTCAACTCTCATCATCATCCAAGCTATGTCCTTGGAGGTGACATACTACATGTTCTTGAAAATAATGTCCCATAAAAGGTGAGCCAACGCCCAGTAGAGATATGCTAAACACAGTATGAGCAATAACTAAGACATTAGCAATTGATAAATGTTCAATTTCCATAAACCAATTCATATTCCATTTCCATTTCATGACCACTATGTTCATGTTTCATTTCAGTTTCCATTTCTTATCCATTCCACAATTTACATCAACGGCTCAGAACCTGGCCAACCACTTATATGAGACAATGACTCATATTAAACATTTCCCATTTTTATGATAGATAAACATACTAGTTGTATCAACATCTCAACAGATATGCATATTAGCTATATCAACACTTCTAATGATAAGCATATGAGCTGTATCAACACTTCCAAAGATAAGCATATGGGCTATATCAACACAATATCTGACAAGCATATGAGCTGTATTAGTGGAGTCCATCCCCTATCTCCTCCCAAACAACATCCGGTTTAGAGGTCCATCCCCTATCTTCCCCTAAACCGTGGAGTACATCCCCTATCTCCTCCCGCACACACAACGTATATACACAAAGGTCATATACACAATCAATCAATACATAACGTTAATGTATTCTATCAACCGTCATACTCTATGATATATCCAATTGATTAGTTTTAGTTTGCCTAATCATCATGCATTGTCTACAACAATCAAAACTACCCTCCACCGGTAGCCCAAGCAATTATTTCTAAACAGATAACAAAAGCTCCAACAGATAAAATATCAATGTTTTTAAAAGTGAGCGATTAATAAATCGAACTCCACTATCCAACTATATAATGAACCAATTTTATTATTTGCAACTCAATTCCATATAACCACAATTTTCTCAAATTAATCATACCAATTAATTTATACAACCAATTAGGGTTTTCTACCCCATTTCCCAATATTGACCCAATGATCTAAATATCAACAACCAACATCAATAACACCATTTTGAAACCCAAATTACATATTATGAGCCCAAAATCACAAAGCCCTCTTTAACACATTTCGAAACCCTAAGCCCCCAAATCAACTATTTAAACAGTTAGCTCAAAATCTAGGTTAAAACCTATAAGAGTGAGTAGGAATCCCTACCTCAAATTCGGAGCTCAAGGAAAGAAGGTGAAGAAACTCAACGTGCTCCAAAACTCAATATACTCGGATCAAAACGTAGCCCTTGACGATCAACCCAACTCTTACAAAGGCCGAAGGGAAGGGAAACACTCTAACTAGATCAAACCCTAGAGAGAAGGGAGTTTCTAGAGAGAGGAACTCTCAAAATGACTTTTTAGAAAGTAGGAGAGAGAGGGAGAGAATGTAAAAAGTGATTTTAAAATACCCTGCTGCCAACTGATATACGACATTCCCGCTTGAGCGGAGAACACAATGCTCGAGCGTCAAGAACAAAAAACTAGGTCCGCTTGAGCGCAATAAGGCCCACTCGAGCGCCAAGACACAAGAATAAAGTACATCCGCTCGAGCGTGAAAACCAGTCCGCTTGAGCGTAGATTTTCCCCTCCCAAAACTTACACCCAAAGGTACTACCGGCTCGAGCGCCACCGCTCGAGCGTAAAAATCACACCTGCAGAAGTTTTGCAGGGACACGAAAAACTGGGAGCGTGCAATCTCCGCTTGAGCGCAATAAGACCCGCTCGAGCGGACCTCCTAAAAACTGGGCCACAAAGAATTGAAAGCAAAGCCTAACTAACCTGTAACAACTCTGCCCAATACATCCTAAAACTCAATCAAGTGGAATTAAAGGATGACAACAAGATATACCACCACCAACATCACGGAACCGAGTCCGGAATACAACAGAACAGTAAAGGGACAACTGGGATCGCTATAAAACTAATGCCTTTAATTTGGCTCTGTGTTGCCATTTTGTGTGGCATATGTTCGAAAATTCAGAACCGAAAAAAAGTTGAACCGTTTTCATCAAATTTTTATGTTATTTTTTAAAAAACTTATCATTATAAGGTCAACCTCCTCCAAATAGTGAACATCATCCAAGCCTTGAACCTCCTTTGAGTTTTCATTGCGATTCTCCATTCATTTTATAGTATTGGGGTTGTCAAAAAAAATTTCACTCATCGCCATTGTCAGAAAAGTATGTACTATCGAACAGTTGTATCTGTTGTTGCCGGAAGCAACTGAAAGACTAGCCGTGGAAAGGCTTTGAAGGTTTTGAAAATTTTGAAGTGTGTGGATGATGATGGAGGTAGGTACTCTCATAAATTTTATGTTATGATATAGTTAGTGAGTGTGTTTAATTGTGAGATAGTGTGTCTTAAAATAATTTGTATCCCTTTTAATTATTTCATTTGATATTATTATTATTATTATTATACAAATAAATAAAAAATTCAAAATATTAATTAACGTGCTAATAGCAGTACTCTTTAATTTGTATGAAGAATGAGTACCATTTTAACATGAAAAAATAATTAAATATAAAAATAAATAAAATAAAGATATCCATGGCTGTGTGTAAGGCTGCAAATGAACAGAGCCGTTCGTGAACAAGCTCGAGCTCGGCTCGGTAAGAGCTCGTTCGAACTCGGTTCGTTAATTTTTTTTGCCGTTCGAGCTCAAGCTCGAACTCGTTGTGTTTGAGCTCGAGCTCGAGCTTGAACTCGTTAAAATTTTAATAAATAAGTCTAAACATACTAAAACTCGGCTCATTAGTTGGCTCGTTTAACATTTTTTATTTATATATTAAATAATGTAAAAATAAGTATAAAAAATAAGATAAATATGTTATTTATATATTTAAAAAATATAAATGTAAATAATAACTAACTATAAATAATACATTTATATAGTAGTGGTGGTAAATGTACGGGGAGCAAATATTCCGGCAATCCCGTACTCCTTTCTTCCGAGCTCCGTCGATGTCCGATCACCTGCGAGCAAGTAATGGTGAGCTACCCGGCGGTGTGTGGCCCACCCTTTCAGTAAATATTATTATTTTAGTAGAATATCTTTTTTTAAATATGTTTATATATATTGTATAATAAAAATTTTAATTGGAACTTTAGTTTCATACACAGTTATGAATTTATAAATTTTTTAACTCGTTAAGGCTTGTGAACAGGGTCAAACACGAGTCAAGTCCAAGCCAACTCGGCTCGAGTTTAGTTCATTAAATTTTTATTGAGTTCAAACTCATTAAAATCTTAATAAATAAGCGCAAATACATTAAACAAAAATGCTAGAGGTTCCAAAAATTTTACCAAATGTCTCACATGGGTGTGGGACCCACATGGGACCCACATTGTGTGGGTCCCACACCCATGTAAGACATTTGGTAAAACTTTTAGTAGAATATTTGAGATCTCTAACATTACTCTACATTAAAACTTGACTCGGTTCATTTGCACCTAGGGTGTTCAGGCTTGCTGGGCCTAATAGCTTCGTGGCCTTTTTTACAAGACACTGGGCTTGACCCAACTCAACACAAGCAGTAATCGAGCCCTGACTGAAACAATCAACACTATGAAGAAGCAACTAGAGAAGCAACTAGAGACTAGCCTAGAATAGACTCAGCAAAACAAAAATTGATTCTTGCTCTTCCAAGTTCAATATACAAATTACAAAACTAATACATAGATCGTTGTTTTCTCTACTCGAAAATGGAATTCGTCGTCGAAGAAGGCAAACACCTTAACGAAGAATGCTCCACTTTGATTCTGGTTTGTCCTACTAAAATTCCTGCGAATTCTTACTAGGGTTTTCAACTTTTTTGTTCTTCTTCTTCTTCTTCGTATTTGATTTACATTTGTGTGTTCTTATTAATTTATATATATAGCCAGCTTTATCGATTGGGAATGTGGGGCAGCTGGCGGTGGATCTGTTGATATCGTCGATGAGAGCAGAGAGAATCGGTTACTTGGATGACCCAAATGTTCTTCCCTGTGTTGGCAATGATGCTTACTCTCCCACTCCTCAAGGCCACCTTGTTCTCCCTCTTGAAGGTCTCCTTCAATCTTATATCTTTTCTATCTATCTATCTATCTGTCTATCTATCTGTAATTCTATGTATGTTTTGGTGTCTTGAAGACCCAATTATTAATTATAGGGATACATATAAAATTACCATTAGTTAAAGGGTTAATTATCCAAATAATTCAATTAATTTAAAAGAAGCCCACATTCTCTGAGCAGTTTACATGAAGTAAAAAATACTGTCAAAAGTGAATTAGTGAGAGGAAGATTAGGAATGAACTAGCCGGCGAAACATGCGATACGTGTGTAAAACTAATAATAAAAACAAATAATAAAGAATTTAATATGATAATATGTATGTTGCTTAAGTGATAAGTATGTTCTTAATGAAGCCCAAGGTCTTGGGTTCAATCTTGCTTATGGTGTGTATAATAATTTTTTTATTTTAGCATATATAAAGTTGCTACGTGGCATGAAGAGAAGAAGGCTTTACTAAACCAATTTGGGCCTTCACTTAATAATAGTATAGACAGATATGTTAGAGGCAGAAAAAATAGGAATAATAATATGATTCACGAACATAGTGCGTGTCACCCTACTAATATATATATATATGTATGTATACTAGCGGTGAGTGCAAATGTATGTAATTTAGCGATAAAGAGGATGAATAGAAACCCTTTGTGAAATTTTGAATATATGGATCAGTGTTCACATGATGGTTTCTTCATATTGACAGTCATCAAACTGTTATGGGCATTTTCAGAAAAGAAAAAAAGAGAGTGACAAATGAAGGCGTCTACACCCTTTATATAATTGAATAGATATATAAATATATTGATATGTGTTTGATGTAGATTGGGATTTAAAATATTATTTATTTTTATTTTAGATTTTAGATTTAATATTTAATTAGGAATATTCTAGTTTAGTACAGAATAGTATAGAATTATTATATTTTATAGATTTTCTTGATTAGCAAGAATTATTTTAGTATAAATAAAGATGTAAGCCTTAGGGGCAATACAGTTTTAAAGAGTTTTCTCAATATTTTTTGTTCAAAGATAAAGAATTTGTAGTTTGGGTTTGTTCGTGGTTCGATTAAGTTATTTGCTTGTCTTTTCGATACACTTCCTTGTATCAGTTTGCGTGGTAAAACTCATACATGCCTATATAAGATCATCTCTGATCCCATTCATTAAACTTCTGTGATTTTTTTGCTAAAAGTTTGATCTAATATGGTGCACTCTAATCAATCTTTTTTTAAAAAAAATCCCAACTTATCCCAAAAGCTTTTTTTTACTATTTTATCTAGGAAGCACGGATACGGAACACGGCGATACGAATACGATGATATACTAAAATTTGAAAAAGTAGAATACATCTACGGCGGAGCTACGTTCGTACCAAAAAAAAATATATATATATATATATTATAATTTTAATAATGAAATATGCATAAAAATAAAACCTAAAGCAAATTAATAAATAAAGAGAAGGATTCCTATTAAACAAAGGAATACTAACATTAAAGTTCCTAAAATTAAAAATTTGGTGAAGAAATACTTACATTAATAGGTTTTTTTTGTTTTTTTTTTCACTAAAGGACAAATTGGTTACAAACTCAAAAAAAACAAACCCAAAAAAAAAAAAAAAAAAAAAATGGGAAAAAATAAACAAAAGAAACAAAAAAAAATAAATAAGGGAAAAAGGGAAAAAAAAAAAAATTAGAGCAGAGAGTATTGACCATTGAAAAAATATAGGTTTAATTACAAAAAAACCTCAAGGTTTTCTCGTGTTTTTCAATTTCGACAAATTAAACCCTGGAGTTTCATCCGTGTTTCAATGTGAACCCTCCGTCCATCTCTGTCTCACTTTGTCTTCTTCTTTCTTCCAGATTCAAAACTACATGTTCAAACTTTTGTATCTCCCTCGTCGTAACTTCATTTCGCCTAATTTTCACGTCGTTGGATTCAACTCATGACCTAGTTTTCATTCCACCCTTTATATGCCTTCTTCCACCCTTATTTGTATTCTATCGGAGCTCCGAAAGTTGGCCAAAAATTAAATTTGTCTTTGGGCAAAATTTTTAGATTTAAACCCACATGTTCAAGGCCTTCTATCTCCTCGTTGTAACTCCGTTTCACCTTATTTTGCGTCGTTAGATTCAGCTCATGGCTTAGTTTTTATTCCACCCCTCATACGCCTTATTCCACCTTTTTTTGCATGCCGTCAAACCTCTGAAAGTTGGCAAAAAAATAAAATCTCTTTTTTTTGTCTTGTTGCTATCACGACAATATTCTTGGCAATGGAGATGCAATGGATGATACTTGATTGGAAACCAAGGCTCCTTGACATGCTCGCCGGCCCAATAGTTTTTTATTTTTATATGTAGTTGTATATCTATTACCACTCGACGGCACTGCCACTATTACTACCACCACCTCATCTTGTAGATAATGATGATGAAGCAGCAGCAGTAGTAGCAAGCCAGGAGGAGGAAGGAAAACAAAAAAAGAGAGAAAAATCTTATTTTTGGCCAACTTTCAGAGCTCTGAAGACATGCAAAAAGAGGTGGAACAAGGCGTATGAGGAGTGGAATGAAAATTAGGCCATGAGATGAATTCAACAATGCAAAAATAAGGTGAAACAGAGTTACGACGAGGGAGATACAAGGGCTTGCATATGTGGGCTTGAATCTGAAAAAATTTTCCAAAGAGAAAAAATTTATTTTTGGCTAAATTTCGGAACTCTGACGGCACGCAAAAAGAGGTGGAACAAGGCATATGAGAGGTGAAATGAAAATTAGGCCATGAGATAAATCCAACGACGTGAAAATGAGGTGAAGCAGAGTTACAGCGAGGGGATACAAGGGTTTAAACATGTGAGTTTGAATCTGAAAGAAAGAAGAAGATGAAGGAAGATGGAGATGGACAGACTGTTTACATTGAAACATGGATGAAACTCCAGGGTTTAATTTGTCGAAATTGAAACTCTGGGGTTTAAATTGAAAAACACATGAAAACCTGGGATTTTTTTTGTAATTGACCCAAAAATAAAAATATAAAATAAGAAAAAATTGGTAAAAAAATTATGGGTGTGTTTGGTTTGTGTTTGTAGAGTAGTTTTTGAGATATAAAGTATGAAAACTTATTTGGTTTGCCTTTTTTCAGAAATGATTTTAGAAAATTATTTTGGAGAGAGTTTTAAAAAAAGTGATTGATATTATGTGTATGAGAGAGAGTGTTTTGAAAGTAGGTAACCAAACAAAATTTTGAGATTTTTTTTAGAAAAATTTGTTTAGTTTGATTACTCTTGAAAATTTGTTTGTAGAAAATTTTTTCCAAAATTTTTTTTGAAAAACAAACCAAACAAGGCCTATATACATATTTGGTGTATTAAAATATAAAAAATAAAAAAATTAGATACTTATTTAGCATATCTCTCATGTATCCTGCCATATCCCTCAAGTATCCCTCCCATATCTTAAAATTAAAAAAAAAAACCAAAAAAAAATCGGATATTTATTTGCCGTATCCGATATGTAGCCCGCCCTATTGGATGCGTGTCCGTATCCCATACGTACTTGATACTCGTACGGCACCTTTTTTGGAGTATTCGTGCTTCATAGATTTTTATGAAAGAAAACCAGCTTGAATCTCTAGTCTTTTTGAGAATTTGAGTAAAAATATGATTGTTGGAAATTTGGTGGAGTGTTCATCCTTGATTTGAAGAAAAATTTGCCTCTCCACACCTTGATTTTATTTTGGTTTGATGAAATGATTGGAGCTCACTTTTTGTTTGTTTTTCATCAAATTTGAATTTGATGATGGAATTGGTGAAGGATTGGAGATGCTTACTTAAAATGTGGGAATCATGTTAATTTTGTGTTTGTTATTTAGATGGTGCATGATGCTTATTTTTAATCACATGATTTGGAGTTATGATGCTTGTTTAAGTTGCAATTGTAATAGGATTGGACAAGGGATCATATTTTTATCTTTTCCATTATCAACTAAGGGTAAAAATTTTAGTTTATACTGTATGGCTTTCCCTTGGTTAGGGGTATCTTTCTGAAAGCATGGTGTAATATTTTTCTTTTAGTTTGCAGCTTATGGCTCATCTTCCAATACGTTGACTCTTGTTCAACAAAGATCTCCTGTTGTGAAGGTAACACTTGAGCATCCTGTATTTTGCAATGATTATGGCTTCTTGTGTTGTTATACCAAGTCCAATGAAAGCATTAGATATCAAACTTAACAAGAATTCTGGTAGAACTTGAACTTTTTTTAAGATTCGAGTGTTACTTGGATGGGTTCAACCATTGCTAAAGTTGCCCTGGATTCTGAAATATAACGTTTTAATATTTTAATATGATTTATAAAATTCTCGCAAACCTAATCAATTCTAGGATTGCCTCTCTTTTAGTGTTTTAGTGGACACCAAATGTTTTTTTTTTCTTCTAATGCTTGTACGAAAATAGTCATAATTAATGTTATTGAATTGATAACTTCACAAGTGATCATTTGGAGATGTTTACACTCCCCTAAGAAGCACGAACACATATATGGATACAAACACCAAATGTAGTGATTTCAAAAACATGAGGACACAAGACACGAACAAAAATATAGATTAATATTGCATCCACAAATAATCAAAATTAAAAAAAAATTAATACTGATTCAATATGCGGAGAAAAAAAACCCTCACTCTTACGCTAACTCTTATCCTTTGTCTTTTTTTTTGGATGAGCTATAAGCAAAAAATAATAAACATTTAACATCCAATGTCTATCAAAAGCACTAAAGAAGAGGGGAACAACACTTGTTGGCATGCCGCTGATGTGCCCTCGGTGTATCCCCTAAAACAAATTAATTAAATAAAGGGACACACCACGTGTCACTATCTTATGTGTCCTTGTGTTTGACACTGTCACGACACCTTTTTTGAAGTGTCGGTGCTTTATAGATACTTGATTAGTGATGTGGGATGCACTAGCTTGTTGCCATCATCCCATGGTAATGTTATTCGTGTGAAATCAGCTGATTGTTATCATTATGATTATTGGAAAGACTTTGGAGCTAAAACTCATAGAAAAAGATAGCGACTATAAGTGGGTTTAAGGGTGCACATGTTTATGTGGCAGTTTTATCAATCAAGATTTGTTTTTTTGTTTTTGTATGATGTATATAAGCAATGTGGAGCAGTCAAGAAAAACATATTTACAAAATAAGTGTAGCTGAAATGAAAATGTTCAGATGGATGTGTGGGGGTTACAAGAAAAAATAAAATAAGAAATGAAACTATTAGAAAGAAGAAAGAAGAAAGAAGTTTTTTGCGTGAGTAAGAAGTAAGAAGTTGGGAAGATAAAATGTGGAAAATTCATTTGAAATGGTATGGTCAAGTGCATTATAGAAGAATGGAATGAGAACATGGTTGAGGCAATAGAAATGGACATGATTACCTTAAACTTAACTGATGATGTGACTTTGTGACAAAATCAACTAAAGGGAATGAATCTTTCATATTTGTATTTGATCCCTAATAATTAGGATGAAGATTTTTTTGAGTTGACAAGTCAATTTTGTCAATCAAGATGAATACTCTTATTTATAACATTTTTTGTAAGTCATATATTTAGACCGTTATGTATATTTACATATACATGCATATGAGGTGGAAACAAATATTTACCCCATTTGATTTTACTTTAAAATATTGAGTTTAGCTTAAAGAAAGTATATGAAAACCCAACTATAAAAAGTTAGCCTTTTTTGCTTATTTTGAGGTTTTTACGTTGAAAAGGCAAATAAGTTGAAAATTTGATAAGTTGAACCAAGCACCAAACCTGTGTGAATGTGAAGTAAAATTACATGAGTTACTGATCAAAACAAAGTAAAACTACATAAGTTTCAAATAAGTGGAAGCAAATGGGGCCAGTAAAACCACCTGATATGTATGGACAAACACATACTAAAGGTCTCTAGTTCGATCTTGGGCAGCATCATTGTCTTCTCAGAATACCCCATTTATTTTTTTTGAGGAGAGTAATAGAAAAGTATAAAGAAAAGAAAAGAGACATTCATATGGTATTTATCGACCTTGAAAAAGCATATGATAGAGTGTCCCGAGATAATATGGTGGGTGTTAGAGAAGAAATTGGTGACAAAAGGTTACATTGATGTGATTAGGGACATGTATGAAGGGGTGGTGACCACTATTAGATCACCATCTGGAGAGATAAATGAATTTCCTATCATTGTAGGGTTACACCAAGGATCTATCTTAAGTCCTTATCTTTTTGTTTTAGTTATGAATGAGTTGAGAAATATTCAGGATGACGTGTCATGGTGTTAAAATTGATGTATTATTGATTGATGTATGTTATCTATTACAAATGGTAAGGGGCTCCTTATATAGGAGATGTAGTGGAGTAGGTGGAGTAGGTGGTAGTGGTAGGTGTGTAGTAGGTGGTAGTAGGTGGTGGTAGGTGTAGTAGGTGTAGTAGGTGATGGTAGGTTTTAACAGCCCCCGCAAACTCAAGGGGGATAGGAACTAACCAACTTGAGTTTGGAGAGAGTAACAAAACAAGAAAATAGTCTAATACATAAAATAAAAGAGGATAGGAGACACTGTATGGTCGTGTCAGACCGTTGGTGAAGATATTGGATGGTTGTGTCATAACGTTGTAGAGGACACTGGATGTAGAAGACAGTTTATGGGGTCATGTCGGGCCGTTGTAGCAGACAATGTTGTGACAGTTGTTGTGACAGTTTACGGAGTCTTGCTGGACCCTTGTAGAAACTAACCGGAATCAATGTCGGGACACCAAGCACCAAACCTGTGTGAATGTGAAGTAAAATTACATGAGTTACTGATCAAAACAAAGTAAAACTACATAAGTTTCAAATAAGTGGAAGCAAATGGGGCCAGTAAAACCACCTGATATGTATGGACAAACACATACTAAAGGTCTCTAGTTCGATCTTGGGCAGCATCATTGTCTTCTCGGAATACCCCATTTATTTTTTTTTGAGAGTAATAGAAAAGTATAAAGAAAAGAAAAGAGACATTCATATGGTATTTATGGACCTTGAAAAAGTATATGATAGAGTGTCCCGGGATATAATATGGTGGGTGTTAGAGAAGAAAGGGGTGACAAAAGGTTACATTGATGTGATTAGGGACATGTATGAAGGGGTGGTGACCACTATTAGATCACCAGCTGGAGAGATAAATGAATTTCCTATCACTGTAGGGTTACACCAAGGATCTATCTTAAGTCCTTATCTTTTTGCTTTAGTTATGAATGAGTTGAGAAATATTCAGGATGACGTGTCATGGTGTATGCTTTTTGTAGACGATATTGTGCTAGTAGATGAGACTAAGGGATTGTTTGGGATGATCTAAATAAGTGCACTTTTTGACTTTTTATGAAATATGGGTTGGGTTTGAAGTGATGTCGTAGAGAGGTGATGTGATTTAAATAAGATGATATAACTTAAATAGGATAGTGACTTTTTGACTTTTTTGTGTTATGCCAAACTTAGCCTAAAGAAGGAGTTAACACAAAATTGGAGATTTGGAGAAAAGCTCTTGAATCTAAAGGATTCCGGATAAGTAGAACTAAGACACAGTATATGGAGTGGAAATTTAGTAACAGTAACAATGAAAGCAGAGGAGAAGTGAAAATTGAGAATCAAGAACTGCCTAAGAGTGAATATTTTCGTTATTTAGGGTCGATTATTACAACAGCGGGGGAGATTGATGCAGATGTGGCTCATAGGATTAAGGTGGGATGGTGTACGTGGATAAGTGCGTCTGGGCTATTGTGCGATAAACGAATACCCACTAGACTAAAAGGTAAGTTCTATAAAACGACTATTAGACTAGCAATGTTGTATGGGACGGAGTGTTGGGCAACCAAGAAACATGTAGATGAGATGAGTGTGGCTGAGATGAGGATGCTAAGGTGGATGTGTGGTAAGATTAGACAAGACAGAATTAGGAATGAGTGTATTCGGGAATAGGTAGGAGTAGTCAATAGAAGATAAGTTGAGAGAATCAATTGAGATGGTTTGATCATATTCAACGGAGACCAACAGAGGCAGTAGTTAAGAGATGCGATACTGTAACGGTAGATGAAAGTGTTAGGGGACGGGGTAGGTTTAGATTAACGTTGGCTAGCGTTGTAAATAGAGATATGAATCTATTTAATTTGACTAATGAAATGGCCTCTGATAGGGCGTGTAGAAGAAGGATTCATGTAGTCGACCCCATTTGATGGGACTTAAGGTTTGGTTTGGTTTGGTTTAGTTGAAGTGTACCATGTGGCATAGATCTGTCATAGGGTTATTTTTCATTTGATGTATGCTTGTTTCCTTTTCATTAGGAGATAGTGTCTTCATTATCATTTCTTCACAAATTGACTCTAAAGTTCTAAGTGGATGATTAAACAGGGGATGATGGTTGAATTTGCAAAGAATGTGGCTGATTTTGCTGCTGATAGTGGAAAGAAGCACATTGTTGTGCTTTCTAGCTTAGATTTTGGACGGTGGCAAACAATTGATATGTCAAGGTACTAAGAACTGCAACGTTTTCTTTGATCATTTTAGTTGCTTGACTACTCTCTCTCTCTCTCTCTCTAAGTTTCTTTGTCCTTTTTTCCTGCAGTAACTACTCCCTTTCATTTACATTTTTTGCTTTGAGAAATTTGCTGTTAGTATTTTAATTTTCATATTTGAAAATCCTGCCAACCACCCCATTCATTTTTAATTGGTTATTGACACCATAGAAACATGGAAACTGGTTTATAAAAATCACTTGACAAAATGCATGATTCTACAGATATCAAATATTGTGAGATTAAAAAATAACTGGAACTCATAAAAACCAAAGATATTCCTTATTCTGACAACCATTCATGTAAAAACTGAGTTGATGATCATCTTTTTGAACTCTTTTACCATGCAAAAGCATATAAACCAGCTAGGTCCATTGTTTAGAGTTGCTTAGGCCATTGACAACATTGCTTTGATTACTTGGTGATTTGTTTCAGTGGTCTGCAGATATATTACCTTTCCAGGACTTAACCCTCCCGGGGCATTCGGGGGACGTCTACAATTACCTTTCTAGTGCCAGTATGGATGGAACAGATGATGACTGTGAGAGACTTGGGTGGAAAAGACTTCAGGAATATAACCCTGAGCAGAGGCTGTGGAAGTATCTTAGCACCTTAGCTGAAGGAAATGTTGAACTGGACGACAATATGCCTTTTGAAGATGAACTGGGAAAAAATGATTACTATCCAACTTTGCCTTTTGCTGCACTGTTTTCTTGTTTCAAGGTAGTTCTTTGAAATTAAGGAAATTGCATCTTAGCACCTTAGCGGAAGGAAATGCTGAACTGGACGACAATATGGCTTTTGAAGATGAACTGGGAGAAGAAGATTACTATCCAAGTTTGCCTTTTGCTGCCCTGTTTTCTTGTTTCAAGGTAGTTCTTTGAAATTTCACTGCATACAAGCATGGACATTTTCTAATGGGCAATTTATCCCCTAGTGTGTGACCCTCCTAGCCTGCAGCATACATGTACTACTGCTTGAGTGTGTTTTGGTTACATTTTTTTTTGATAACCGAGAACCGATCCTAGGCAAGGGTTTGGACCCACCCCAGAAGCGCAAACTTGGGATATATGCGACCACCCACTAGCCTCACATATCCGGTAAGTAGGACATCATGAGCCAAACCTAAGACCTCCTGGATAGAACCTGGGTAACTGACCATTTAAGCTGACCCTCACGGGCTGCTTTGGTTACATTTTGTTCAGGTTTTGGGTAATGAGTACTACTTTGGTATGTGTTCTTAGACCCTAGCTCATTCTCATGTGTAGCATGCTCCCGCAGTCATTTTGCTCTGAACCATCTTCTTTTGTATTAGGAATTTATGCAAAAAGATACTGTAGTTGAAAGGCTTGAGTTGTAGTATGTGGTCTACCGCTGGGAAAATACTTAAAATTTGAAGTTCTAGATTCTTCTGTCTAAATAGAGTCTTGTTTTGGAGTTGACATATTGTAACTCATATAATTTGTGGACCAATTTCAATATTCTCCTTACAAAAGGGTTTTTGGTAATTGTTAGGCCAAAGGTTTGAAGGTCACTTGCTTATTATGTTATTGCTCGGAAGGAGATAATATACCAGAGGCTTTCCACCTTGCTGATGCGGCATGCAGTCTTTTGGGTCTGAACCCTAATAATTTTCAAGGTAAGTTTGGGCTTGAACCCTAATAAATAGGTGATTTGGAATTAGACCCCTTAATCCTAATTAGTAATCATATCCTTGATTTCGGGACAATAATCCCCAACTCATTTGTATTTATGTATTTGTTTTACATATTTTGTGGGTGCATCATTAGCTTATTTACATGATGTCAAACTAAGAATTGTTTCCATCCACCATCCACAGCCACCACCTTCAAAAACCATGGTTACAACTTGCAAGTTATTTCCCTGGAAGTAACCGTAGTATAGAATACATAACTGTCATATGGTGTAATAGTCTTTATCCAAATATTTGACATGTACTCTTTTTCCATCGAACATTGCTATAAGCTGGAAATGTTGTTTTCAACTTTTGAACTCATCTGATTTATAAATTTGCAGTTTCTTCTACAGCTTTTGTATGTAATGTGAAGAAACTTTGCTTTCGTTTTGGAATGCATGCCACAAGTTGTACTTGAGGGCATATTGTTGACTACTAGGGAATTTATGTAATATCTGATCCCCTATTAATACGTAGGCAAAAGGTGAAAATAGAGCCAGATGATTTTCATTGTTTCTGCTCAGTTGTTTTACATGATCCCATCAAAAGTAGTCGTCGATAACTATGTATCATGAAGTTAATATTGAATCTTGCATTACGCATACACTCTGGATAATGTTGTTTATTTTTCAGCATTCATGGTTTACCTTCCTAAAAATTTATTCTCAATCTACTTTGCTGCATTTCATTTTTATCTGACTTTTATGCTTTTCCAATTAGCTCCAACTCAGATCCAAGTCCTCACTATAAGTCTTACTTTTTTGAACATACCTCAGCTAAATCAAAACAAAAAAACAAACTCGGGAACTGTTTCTGTTGAAGCTTAACACTAAAATCTGCTCAACTGAACTTGAGAAGATCGTGTCCTATCAACATGGAGTCAACTAGATGAATCCTAATCTACCTTTTCACTTTATCAAGGGCCTTATTTTAGTTAAATAACATTATCTATATGTTTTTCTGGATCAATTTTGGTATTCCCTTTTGATCATATTTATATGCAAATTTCTTTTTTCAGGCAATGAAGGCAGCAAATGGATTGTCCCATTTTCATGGCAGACTGTGTATGGACCTCCCCCAGATAGGTCTCTCTTTTAGGTTTGACCCAATGAGGTAGGTCAGCTAGGATGCCGGATTGCTTGTTGTAATGTCGAGTTTTTAAAGAATTGTATATTCATCTTGGCCATGTCAAGATGACATTACTTTTTTTTTTTCTTTTTTAATGATGCAAGTACAAAAATGCTTTTTCTTTCCTTTTATACGCTAAATGCAAATGGGACTTCAGTTTTTGTTTGAACCTGTAACCATCTTTTTGGTTTATAATCTAGAAAGTAAGGGCATGTTTGGTATTGACTTCATTTTCTTCGTTTTTATTTTTCATATTTTTGAAAATAAATACAAATGAAAGTTCACAATTTAAAACAGTTACATTAATACAGGGAGAACCTAGGTCCATAGCTTACGCTTAAAATTTAAGGTCTAAACCCAGCCCATAACCTTTATAAATGATAAAAAAAAAAAAGGGACCGTGCTTGGATTGGTCGATGCTACTCATGGATTTAAACATGTAATGGTTACGTAATGGTTCCAAAGCCAAATGTGGTCCATTTTGCCTAATTTGGATTTCTTTATTAAATTGAAAATTCTATAGAAAATATCTCAGAATTATAATAGAAAATTTTGGACTTATGGGTTGAGTTTTGGGCTTTGCTTCATTTTCTTGATTTTTGTTTTTCTATTTTTGAAAACAAATACAAATGAAAGTTCACAATTTAAAACAGTTACATTAATATAGGGAGAAGCTAGGTCCATAAGCTTACAACCAACCCATAACCTTTATAAATGATCAAAAAAAGGACAGGGCTTTGACTGGTCTATTCTAAAATTTTAAAGCTTAGACGCTACTGGTGGATTTAAACATGTAATAGTACGTGTAATGGTTCTAAAGCCAAGGAACTTTTTATTATTTTTATTGTGGAATTATGACGGAGTTATGAAGTTAAGAGAAATTGGAGATGAAGTTGGAAACACAAAGATGGAGAGAATTTACATTGTCCGGCATAAAAGCCAATATATAAAATACAAGATGGTGGGTACAAACAAAATCAAAACTTAATGCATACCTAACTTGGTAAGATTTTACGGCCAAGATTTGCAAAAAATTCTAACACCCTAATTAAGCCTAGTCATAGGCTTTATAAATTGTCTACATAAAAATAAATACAAAGAGACAAAAAAGTCTAAAAGAAAAACTACAATTATTTGCTATGTGCTATAGTTTTTACAAATGTGGTCCATTTTCCCTAATATGGGTTTCTTTATTAAATTGAAAATTCTATAGAAAATAATTCAGAATTATAATAGAAAATTTTGGACTTATGGGGTGAGTTTTGGGCGTTGCTTTTGATAATACATCGTGTCAAATTAATAAACTGGGTTGGGCCTTTATGCTTCAGCTTAGTGTTATAGACTGCGCAATTGTCATCCTCTCGAGAAGCCGACTTCACGAGTGGTACTGTGTACCCTGTGCATTATGCTGAAGGACGCGATAGGAATATACCTTGCTTGTCTTGTCGCTCACAAACTAATGTGCTTGCAAAGTGCTTGGTGTAGAACTTGTATCTTCAATGAGTCAGTAAGTGACATATTACCACTGCCAATCCATGATGCCCACGTTAGGAGTTGGAAACACAAAGATAAGAGAATTTACATTGTCCATTACGTTGGCATAAAAGCCAATATATAAAATACAAGATGGTCGGTACAAACAAAATCAAAACTTAATGCATACCTAACTTGGTAAGACTTTACGGTCAAGATTTGCAAAAAATTCTAACACCCTAGTTAAGCCTAGTCATAGGCTTTATAAATTGTCTACATAAAAATAAATACAAAGAGACAAAAAGGTCTAAAAGAAAAACTACAATTATTTGCTATGTGCTATAATTTTTACAAATGTGGTCCATTTTCCCTATATGGGTTTCTTTATTAAATTGAAAATTCTATAGAAAATAATTCAGAATTATAATAAAAAATTTTGGACTTATGAGTTGAGTTTTGGGCTTTGCTTCATTTTCTTTATTTTTGTTTTTGTTTTTGTTTGTTTTTGTTTTTGTTTTTTTTTTTGTATTTTTGAAAACAAATACAAATGAAAGTTCATAATTTAAAAGGGAGAAGCTAGGTCCAGCTTGCAGCCCATAACCTTTATAAATGATCAAAAAAACAGGACAGTGCTTGGACTGGTCTATTCTAAAATTTTAAAGCTTAGACTCTACTCTTGGATTTAAACATGTGATTGTTCTAAAGCCAAATGTGGTCCATTTTGCCTAATTTGGGTTTCTTCATTAAATTGAAAATTCTATAGAAAATAATTCAGAATTATAATAGAAAATTTTGGACTTATGGGGTGAGTTTTGGGCGTTGCTTTTGATAATACATCGTGTCAAATTAATAAACTGGGTTGGGCCTTTATGCTTCAGCTTAGTGTTATAGACTGCGCAATTGTCATCCTCTCGAGAAGCCGACTTCACGAGTGGTACTGTGTACCCTGTGCATTATGCTGAAGGACGCGATAGGAATATACCTTGCTTGTCTTGTCGCTCACAAACTAATGTGCTTGCAAAGTGCTTGGTGTAGAACTTGTATCTTCAATGAGTCAGTAAGTGACATATTACCACTGCCAATCCATGATGCCCACGTTAGGGGACATTACGCTGCTTGTCTCCATGCTTGTCTGTTCCCCTACTCATACCGCCTGCCTCCATGCTTGTTCGTTCCCTTATCCATATAAAACCTGCTTGCACGGACACCACCCTTGGTGTGGACCCCACAATGAAGGTGATTGGTGTAAATCTTACATACTATCCCCATCACAGTGCCCCTAGGTTGGCTCTAATACCACGTGTGACGACCTTGGTTATTTCCAAGCACTCCGTGTGATACTTAGACAAGCACAAGTCTTACTTGATGATGTTAAATCAACCAAACTCACAAGTTTACAAGAAAGAGAAGTAAGAAAACAAAGAGAATTTGAGAGAATGTCATTGTATTCACTTTGAGAGAACTTGTACAACTCTTGATTGATGATTGGAGCGAATGAGACACTCTTCTATTTATATGCTCATTTGGAGCATTCTAGAACACACAAAAATGCGGTATGATGTAGAAGCTTCTCATGGAAGCCTTCTTACAAGTTACAAGAACATTCTAGAATGTCTTCTAAAAATATCTATACAAATATCTGCAAGTCTAATTATATATACAAGTGTGTATCTCGGACCTTCTAGGATTCTCCATGGTGTCACATGTGTTAAAGTTTGCTAGGAAGTTCTAGATTCTTTCCATTGGCTCCCATTCTTCCAAGCTCCTATTTGGATAGTATTTTTTTTTTTCTCATGGAGAATTTAGCAACATGTCACGTACCAATTCATTGGAAATGTGATTAGTTTGTGAAGGGCAAGGTAGACAGGGTAGATCCCTATTGCATCACTTGGGTTGGTTCTTGGGCCTAATACACAGGGTATGCAGTACCAGTCATGGAGCTGACTTCTCGAGAGGATGACAAGTGCCTAGTCTATGACATTAGACTCAGTTCATTTATTTTTGGGATAATTGGTGATAAGTGACTTTTTTTTTTTGATATGGCATTTAGTTTAAGGATTAATCTTTTATAGTGACAACGATATGATTAATAAAATTATTTAGTGAGAAGAACAAACTATTATTTTGAAGGAATTCTTTTTCTATTTTTACCCACATTCGCTAGATCACTATTAGACCACCATAGGCCGGTCGTCGGAAGAGTCATCGATGGAGGCCAGGAGCGGCAACTAGTGGTGGTGGTGGTGATATAGACAAGCACCTTACGTGGACAAATAGGCGACACGTGGACAGATAAGTTGACAAATAGACAAATAGGTAGGGGTAATATGATCTTATCAAATTGTTTTGTCCTTTTAAGACCAAAAGAATAAACCTTGGGACTATTGCCCCAAAAGTTTTGAATTTAAACTTATGGCCTGAGTTTCATATATTTTTAGAGATCAAGCCAATCCATTCTAAGGTCACTATAGCAAGAGCTCAAGTAACCAAGTTTCTTACATGAAAAAATTTGTGACACCATTTTTTTATCGCCTACTCAAAATAGAGAGAGAGAGAGAGAGAGAGAGAGAGAGAGAGAGAGGATTGTGCATCCGTGCAAAGTGCTTCATCAAAGCACTACATAGCCCACGCAAAGCATGCATTATTGTGGATGGTTCATTGCATCATCCTTGTGGTTGTTAGGCATGCACAACATTAGCATCCATTCTACAATTCCATATTCAAAGGAATATTCTATAGAACACTTTATTTAAGTGTTCCATGTTTTCTTTATTTCCAATGTGAGACAACTTCTCAAGCTTGTTTCAAGCTTTCCAAAAGAAACAAATAAATAAAAGGGTTTTTGAAAATACCGAAAAAAACACTAACATTAATTTTGAAAATTCCCTAATAGGTTTTTCATCTTAGTTCCAAAATTCTTCTCAAGTTTATGTTGCATTGCATAGGTTCGTAAGCCTACATAATACTCTAAAGCTTAAAATTTTGACAATGGTGCAACAAATCATGCGACCAATGACCTCTCCAACTTCAATGTTCTAATTATGGTGTTATTGTTGGTAATGGTTCTTCTTTACCCATTACACATTGTAGTAAAAGTGCTTTGACTACTACATTCCAATATCAGTACTCACCTTTCTTAGCTATTATTGTCTTCTGCGATTATCCAACAGACAAAATGACCTTTCACCCCTGAGCAAAATGGAACCATTGAGCGAAAACATCGATATATGACAAAAACCACTCGTTTTTTCGACTTGAAGCCTTGAATATTGCTATGTATCTTCTTAATAGGCTTGCTCATCCTGCTCTTCAATTTTAGTTTCCTCACACCAAGTTATTCAATATAGCTCCTGATTATCTGAGTCTTAAAACCTTTTGGTTGTGCTTGTTTTCCTTGGTTGAAACCTAATGCTCTAAACAAATTATCTCTTAAGTATATTTTTTTGGTTATTGTCCTTCTACAAAGGTGCCTAATGTTTATGTTTGAGCTTCTCTTCTAATTCTATTTCTCCCTCCATTATTACTAGTTTAGACTCTATTAACTCCACTGTTTCCTCTTTTTCTTTGTCTAATCCTAGCTCCATCTGTTCTCATTTCTTCTCATGCTCTGATCACTAGGTCCAAAAGTGGAATTCTGCTGCCTTGGAGAAGGGGCATAATGTTTAAATTGTTTCTTCCATTACATTCCTATCATTCGTTCATTCCTTCTTGTTGTAGGCTTTTGTACCAATTGATTGATATGGATCGTTCACAAATG